TTTGATTTCTATTTAGTTTTGATGAATAATATAATCTGAATATCGATTATACAGATTTTGCCGAATTCAATATTACGTTCTGTATCGCAGTTATAAAAGATGGTAGACACATCGATAGGGGGTGATTGGAACCACCAAAGTTTCCTATATCTGCAGGTATAGCATGTACATTTGAATCTGAAACACCCTGTATAGGCAAAAGGTATTTTTCCATGAAAATTTCGAATCGTCTTATTTTCTTCTGGTTTGCTCTTTTCGCATTATTATCTTCTGAAAAAATATAGTTCTGAACGGAAAGCACGAAGATCAGAAGAAAGTATTCCTTCATCGGAAAATGTTCAACAAGCGGTACCTTTGTGATTTTCAAACATATATAAGGTAATGAAGTTGAAAGTAAAGAAGAAAGATGGAAATATGAGGAAAACTTGAGAGAATATCTCTCTACCCACCAGGGTGAAAAATGCGAAGCTTTCGATGAAACAACACGAAGTGACACGAAACACCAGAACAGCACACGACCGCGATAATATAATCACTGAATTGTATGAGGAATACAAAAACACAATACTTATATACACTCATTTTCAAGTTAACACTCCGTTTAATTGGAACGATAAATAATTCCTTTCGCGTATTTTTCAATTGCGATCACAAAATTCAACCGTACGTGATGACATCTAATATAAGACTGTCTTGATTCACCACCTCTGTCTCGAATGAATGACTAATAGGTTGGTCATGCTGCTAACTGATTGATTTCCGAACAAATGATGTATCTATGACTAATGACGATAATGAAATTATACAGGGTGAACAGATATATAGTATACAAGATATAAGATGAAGAATGAACACGGATATACTGACGCTATTATTTTCGAAACTCTAACGATTTGAAAAAATTTAACACAGGCTAAAAATATAATTTTCACGAAAATCTCTAGTGATTTGAAAGATATTAAAAGTCAGTAGTGAAAAAATCTAGCAAATTGCTCGAAGAGTGTAAAATGCACAATAAGGAGACATACAGGGGGTGTTTCAGATTTAAATGTACATTTTGGTTTAGACTGCCAACTTCTCTACGAAGTCACTAGAAATAAGGTTGTGCTGAGTTACTACGAATACTACGTCTAACAGAGAATTTTGCGAAGAATTCAGTGGCGTACTCAATTTCTTAAGGGGTTATGATTGTGGAGATATGACATGTATTTTATTATTTAGTTGAATCCGTTATTTGTTTACATTCAAAATGACGCATGCATAAAACTTTATACGTAGGATTTCCAGAAATCCTATAAAACACAACATCAGAATATGATGAATTTTTGCTAGTGGGCTATGGAGTTTCCAAGTTTTACTTTAACGATTATTATGTCTGATATACTATACAGGGTATATATGTCACGACGAGCTTACACTATCTGATCGAGAATTATTCGGGGAAATTCATGAAAATATGCAAGCTCATATTTAAGAATACGCTCTCTCCATTTAAAATATTTTCAGCAATGCACTGTTGCCGCTTTGATCAAAAAGTAGCAACAACTTTGTTATTCCAAATAGATAATACCCTGTATTGTTATTCTCCCTGAAGAGCTGATTTCATCGATGCATATCACACTGTTGGGGTCTATCGGAAATGATTACAGAGATATAGGGTGTTCAAAATCGAGATTTTTTCAACTTTAGGTTTTGTTTGTGTCGAAACTATTCATTATCGGCCAAAACGGCTTGTAGAAGTAGCGAAAAAATCTAGCAAATTTCTCGAGGAATGTAAAATGTACATTTTGGTTTAGACTGCCAGGCTTCTCTACGAAGTTATTAGAAATAAGGTTGTGCTGAGTTACTACGTGTCTAACAGGGAATTTTGCGAAGAATCCAGTGGCGTACTCAATTTTTTAGGGTTCATGATTTTGGAGATACATGCATTTCATTATTTAGTTGAATCCGTTATTTGTTATTCTATTCAAAATGACGAATAAAACTCTGTACAGGGCTAGTTTTATTCACCCCCGTTCATCTTCTTTGTTTCCTATATATTCAATAAGAAGATTCAAAACTGATTTTTTACGATATTCCATATTGCTTTCAATCATATTGAAATAAGAGTTTTGCAATATTCTCCAAATATACAGGATATATGGAAATATATTGATTTTTTAATATGGAATGCGCTGTATATTTTGATAGATAAAAATCCTTCTATATATGTTTGAAATCAGGATGATTTAGGGAATTCAAATTTATCGAAATATACAGGGCGTTCCATTTGAAAAATATATTTATTTCTGTATACCCTGTATATTTGAATAGATATTGCATCATTGCCAAAATGAGTGAAATCTGTGCGAAAAATTGTATAAAATCATCATTCAAAATATCACCGCGTTTAAAGAATTTTCCTATCAGAGAGCCTGAGAAAAATTCACTAGCTTGTCAGTGACAATTAGTATTGAAAAAAGTTTGGAGAAGAGAAATGAAGGTAAATATAAAAAAAATATCAAATTTTCACTTATCTCTGGACGTTTCGGGACCGAATCTGCTCCCGTTTTCAACATAAAAAATGATTATTTTAATAGCAAAGTTGTATCTGTCTTGAAGCTTTTCAGTTTTCATTGAGAATTGGTGACGTTGGCAATCAAATGAGTTACAGGATGTTTTCATTGAATAATCTTGAATTTACCATTTTCATGTTCAGATTTTAGTAGTGAATACCATGTTCTGTCTATATCAACTGAACAAGAAGCAATGCTATTGTCTCCGTTCAGAAGAATGCAAGCAGATTCCTTGATTTTTCTCTTCAGGTTGTTATCTTCTTTTCCAATGATTTTAATATTATTCCACTCTGCCATTTCTCTAACCAATGCATCACTTGCTTTCAGAACTATCCATTCACATCGTCTACTATAAAATGGTGCTTTTAAATGTAACCCTTTTGGTATCGTAATAATGAAGTGATACCAAAAGGGTTACATTTAAAAGCACCATTTTATAGTAGACGATGTGAATGGACGATACCAAAAGGGTTACATTTAGAAACACCATTTTATAGTAGACGATGCGAATGTATAGTTCTGAAAGCAAGTACGGCATTGGTAAGAGAAATGGTAGAGTGGAATAATATTAAAATCATTGGAAAAGAAGATAACAACCAGAAGAGAAAATCAAGGAATCTGCTTGCATTGCTTCTTGTTCAGTTGATATAGACAGAACATGGTATTCACTACTAAAATCTGAACATGAAAATGGTAAATTCAAGATTAATTAATGAAAACATCCTGTAACTCATTTGATTGCCAAAGTCACCAATTGTCATTGAAAACTGAAAAGCTTCAAGACAGATATGACTTTGCTATTAAAATAATCATTTTTTTTCTGTGACGGGAAAAAAGTTTGGCATTTCATCCCTGTTGGCAGGTTATAAAATGTCACTTTTCATAAATTACTTTTTTCCCGTGGGAAAAAAGTGAGTACTTCTTTCCCGGATATATATCACATATACAATACACTGTTGATGGCTTTTGTTGTGCTATAGTTCCGAAAAATAAGTCAATAATACCGTCTCCGAGAAAGAACTGCAAGTCCTTTTATCTTCCATTCGACTTCGCGGTTACGTGTATTGCTAAATAACCACTGAATTCGCAATTTCTTGAAATAAAATCACAAAATTAGACTGACAGAAGTGACATTAGATATTTGATTACTTCAAATGAATGATAAAGATGCCTACAACGCGGTGTCCCTACTGTTAAAAACTTAAAATTTCACGTCGATAATTTTCAGATATCAAAATAATGTAATATCTTCTCAATATTGATTCGTCCTTTCTTCGGTCACAGAAAAAAATAGTGTATTATACACGGGATAAATATTAGATTTTAGCTCACGGTTTTTTGTCTCCCTCCGCTACGCGTCGGGAGACAACACAACCTGGAGCTAAAATCTACTACTTTTTTCCCTTGTATAATAAATAACTATTTATGTTGAAAACGGGAGCAGATTCGGTCCCGAAACGTCCAAAGATAAGTGAAAATTTGATATTTTTTCTATATACCTTTATTTCTCTTCTCCGAACTTATTTCAATACAAATTGTCACTGACAAGCTAGTGAATTTTTCTTTTAGGCTCTCTGATGGGAAAATTCTTTAAACGCGATGACAAATCATCTGATTTGTCCTTACTACACGTATATTGAAATAATATTCATATTTTTATTTTATAGAAACGAGGAGAAAATCCCAAAAAATTTTGAATAATGAATGTACCACCTCCTCGATTAACCTACAGACAGTATAGTTTTTTAAGCACGTTGAGTGTGAGGATAGCAATAAGAGGGAAACAATAAGAAAATATTTTTTTCTTTTATTACATAGAAATATTCAAAATTCGCGGTATCTCTAATACGCCACGTTAACCCTACCTAAGGCCTCGCGCATGTCTGCACGAGGTGCGCAATGAGTCCGATCGTACAGATCGATTTGAGCACTCGAACCTTCACCGTCATTTGCTAAGTTAAAAAAAAACGCGAAATTGATGTTTTTTCCTATAATCAAAAAAGTTGCCAGCGGACATTGAAATTAGCTATATCAAGATGAAAAAGCGGCCCTTAGTGTACCACGCTGAAGTGAAGCTGTCGATGGGTCTTTGGCGTGGAAGAAAATAGAAAAATTTTTGAAATCAGCTTTCATGATTCTATCCGCAACACTAATTGCAAAAGAACATTTAATGATACAAGTTTCAAAGAGCCAAATCCTCAACAGTCCGGAGCATTGAAATCATTTGTAACTGCTGAACCAGTTTAATTCTTTCAAATGTATAACTCAATAGTTGTAGATAAATTTATTAAAATAGATAATAAAAGTAAACGAGAAAATAAATGACATAAAATAAGTTATAGTTTATCACAAGGATTAAGAAAGAACGTTTAGTAAGTGAGTGCGAACACGCATTTACTAATCGCAAAAGAACATCATTCAATGTAAGCGGGATACACGAAGCACCAAATCCTCAACAGTCCGAAGCATTGAAATCGATGCTCCCAGCTCCGCTGCCGCCATTCGGCGGTTTCTTCACTCCTCCCCTGGACAATCTGTCCAGTTCTGCGGCCGCGTCGGTCCTCATCGCCACCTTAAATACAATCACGTTCAATATATGGCATAATGAGGAAGCTTTCCTCGAATTATCATAGAATAGGTGAGTGGACTAATTTCTTTTTATTTCTTAAATAGAATCATCACTCAAATATCTTTCAATTTCATATTTTTTTAAAATTTTCCAGTTGATTTTAAGGTGTCAAAATCATCATTATGGCCACGGTAATTTTCAAACGGCTAGAAATTTACCGCGAGTAAAAACTGACGTCACGATTTACTAGGTAGGTGCAGACCATAGCACAAGTTGACACATGTTGAAATACGATTGGGAACTTCGGAAATATTATTTATTCAATAATACATAAATTCTCAATTATGTATTGGAAATATTCCTAATTAGCATAAAAAAATCAATTGTCTCAAAATGTTCCCTCATGTGTTGTGGCTTATCGGTTAAATAACATTTGTGTAAATAATAATCATATTAATAAACACTAAAGGACATTTGAACCGGTATACGCTCGAGTAAACGTGACAATAACGACAGAACTCTAACAACTTTTCGATAACATGATTATAATTGGCGACTTGGCAACCTTGCTTCATGAGTGGGAATGAAAGATTATGTGACCCATAACGAAACAGTATGAATGCCATATAAGTACTATTTCTATATAATATGGCTCATCGCCCATACGATATCTCAACAAAAATGGGACCAAAATGAGAGGTACTTTTTGAATCTATAAGGACGGAAATTGAAGGATGGAAACAGCCATATTGGTCTGACAAGTTTCGTATTATTTTTTCCCTACGTCGGCATCAACGCCTATTGGTCAATTTCGTTACCTATGGAGACAGAAGTTGGTCCCGCTTTGAGGACAGCTATGCTTCATATATTAGTAGTAGATATATGATAAATGCCAAATGGCGGCGATGACGGTTCGTTTGAAATGAGCTCAGAATTTGAACAATTTCAAACAACGCATAGACCCATCATTCACATGAAAAAAGGCGTGAGAAGTGTTGCAAAAATTAATTTAGGTTCCTAACGATACAGTGGAGTAATTGAATGCCAATAATTCATTATAAGTCCACTCGCCCATTATTATTTAACTACCTAGTATTAGGTTCCTGACGTCTAGAATGGCTATTCAAATTATTCAATTTAAATTTTCAAACTACAGCAATTTAGGATTATTAATGAAGCAGACTACCTATATCTAGTGACATTTGGGGATATTTGTCTATGATGGACTCATTGAATCAACGCCTACATACCCGGAAATAAGAATAAGAAGAAAGCTGTCAGTATAGTCTAACCTCAAACAATCAAGAAAAATTTAAACAAAGTACATCTCAGTATGGTGTAATGTGAATCAAGGATTGTTAACTCAACAGGATGGTTCACCACCTATACATCAATAAATGAAACAGACTTAACATCATGCCGTTCACAAGACCCTCGCTGATCATTATTATATTTCTATTATTTTTATTGATAATGTGACTTCCAGGCAGAAACAAGTTCTGGTATAAGGAAGAATAGTTAACAATAACTATACAATTATAACAAACTTGCATAAATTATATAATATATATTAAATTTAAAATTTTTACTAATCATTTTATATTGGTGAACAAAAATCGATTTGAATAGAGGAATCAAATTGAAAAAAAAAAGAAAAAAATCATCATTTTCGTTTTGAAATGATGAATTGTTCAAGTTCGTATTTGAATTTGATTGTATTTCTGCAATTTTTTATATTATCTGGTAATTTGTTATATTCAAACAGAGGAGAGTGGGTTAATTTTTGTCCTATAAAAGAATTAGCAATATAAAGATTAAATAAACCAGGTTGTCTAGTTTGGTAATCAAAAAATTTCATTGTTTCCTGTTAAAATAAAATTGGATTTCAATGTTTTATTTATGGTATTGTATGTTAGTTTCATATTTTCAATTTTGAACATTCCTTATTTTAATGAGAATGATTCTATTATTTTATATAACTGATTTGATGGTGAACGATACAGTACTTTCAATGTCTTTTTATATAATGGAGATTTATGAGAATTTCTGCAGATTCATCTTTGAAGTCAAATTTGCCTTAATTATTCTATAATCATAGTTGAACCTTCAACGACATAGTTGAAAACAACAATTACATAAACTTTTGTAGATGTTTGGTGAGTATAGTGTCAGTGGAAAATACAGGGTGTTATTTAAGTACGTGGCCAAACTTGAAGGGGTGATTCTTTCAGTGATTTTAAGACGAAAAGTTCATATAAACATAGGTCCGGTAATGCTTCGTTTTCAAGATACAGGGTGTCAAAGTTTTTGAAAGAAATCGTTTTTTCGTAAATATCTTAATAACCCTTCAACCGATTTTATTGAAATTTGGCAGTGTTATTCAAGGTCGTGAAGGGATAATTTAACCTTAACTATATCAAAATTATCATGTCCAGTGGCGTCCCGGAAGGCACTGTAACCAATATTTTTGACAGAAAAAATGTGCGCCACTGATTTTTTTGCAATTTTTGTATTTGTTTCACATTGAGCAACTAAAATTACAACTTTTTCATATCTAGAATTTTTTTCGTATCTTGCTTTGTTTTTGAGAAAAAACATAAAAATCACTTTATTGCACATCCCTGTGACGAGCCGAAGCCAAGAGCCGAAGGCAAGTGCTGCAATTCATACATACATATTTTTTGTTTTCTCATTGCATTAATTTTGATAGAAAATTCCAAGACTAGAATAGAGTATTAATATTAAAAAATATTAGTAAGACCCCAGTTTTTGATGGTTTAGTAGTTGAAATGTTTTATTGTGTTGTCACAGGGATGTGTAATGAAGTGATTTTTATGTTTTTTCTCAAAAACAAAGCAAGATACGAGAAAAATTCTGGATATGAAAAAGTTGTAATTTTAGTTGCTCAATGTAAAACAAATACAAAAGTTGCAAAAAAATCAGTGGCGCACATTTTTTCTGTCAAAAATATTGGTTACAGTGCCTTCCGGGACGCCACTAGACATGATAATTTTGATATAGTTAGGGTTAAATTAGCCCTTTACGACCTTGAATAACACTGCCAAATTTCAATAAAATCGGTTGAAGGGTTATTAAGATATTTACGAAAAAAACGATTTCTATTAAAAACTTTGACACCCTGTATCTTGAAAACGAAGCATTACCGGACCTATGTTTACTTTTCGTCTTAGAATCACTGAAAGAATCACCCCTTCAAGTTTGGCCACGTACTTAAATAACACCCTGTATACTGTTATTCTGTTATAATGGTTGAATCATTGTCGATCTAAATGAAAACCTAGTAGGCGACCTAGTACGCGAGGAGGTACAATATTGTCTGTTCTTTGAATCAAAATCTGTCTGCCTGTCAAGTGGCGCTGGCATCCTGAAAATGGAAAAAGCTCATTTGTTTATGTCAAAATAGACCATATTAGGTTGATATTGTCTTCTTCTATTTTTTTCCAATATGTTAATCAACCACAGATGTGCTTTCCATCATTGACGTGATATTCGATACAAAGGCAATGAAGAAGATTCTTTCATGAGATTGAGATGTCATAATCAAAAAATTATTTTCTGACAGTTGTCATTAACTTATAATTTCGTCTTTGTGAATATGTTGAACTTTGAATTCGTATTCTTGAAAATTACAATTATTCCTAATTGTTTCTTCTAGTATTAGTTTTCTATTGCAGTTTGTTGATTGGTTTGTGAGTGCGATTGTGTTATTTTGCAATGTCATCTGAAAACTGCGCACTCCAGAAGGTGAAGGTGTAATTGAATTATCAAGACATGGTTTCTCCAATCCCCATTGTTGTGAATTTGAGCCTCAAATCCAGAGGCATCAATGGGTTCACGCCATATTCATTGGATATCAAGGTGAACTTTTTTTCTTGAATCGCATAATATTTGAAACTTAATGATATTTATATTTCAGGAATGTGAGTTTTTGAAGTAAACGACCATGATACTATATGTTTCCAACATTTTAAGGGAACTGTTTCTTGCCAATGAAGAATATAGGAAACGATTTTGGAAAGAGAGTATGGTTCCAAGTTTGTTCAAGGTAGAAATATATAAATAAAATGGTATTTGATTTAACTTTGATTCCTCTAAAAGTTGTTCCATAGTCAAAAGTCATTAAATTCATTTCAGAATGGTACAGGACATTGAAACTAGGGACAATATTTTTATATTTTCAGACTCATCAATGTTGTTTGGAATATGATGCTGAAGTGGAATTCCTGCCTTAAGGAACACGACCTGATGATGAAGAAGCATCTGAGGAGGAGGAAACAGGCATTTGAACTGATATTATAGAATGATAATAAATAATAATAAAGTTCATTCAAAATGTTGACTTGAATATAAATTAAAAAGATACATATTGGTATTGAATATTCCTGTGGTTTAATTTGTGGCAATAATAGACACATCTTCTCATATTTAGTGAAGTTCGTAGCTTCAATAATAAGATGATTAAATAAAAAATAATCATTGTTTTACTTCAAAAATACTTTACCTATATACAATATTGGCACAATATATATAGTGTTTTCAAACTTACCTGCCAATACATCTGTACAACAATAAACAGGGTATCAGAAGAGAACAAACTATATAGTAGAATGAAAATTGAAATAATTCTTCATAATTATGTACAATTCATTAAAAAAGTTATATTGCCATTCATACATACAAGTTATATTCCAATAAAAAACTCTAAATATCCCAGCATCTTGACAAAGAACCCTGAACAATAGAATACCATATATCTGAGGATGATTCCTATATCTTGAAATCACTTTACTCTAGTGAAATTCTGAGTGGCTCACTACGAAAATGGTCCTGAGTGTGCTGGAGTGGAATATCACAATCATGTTCCTCATCATCTAATTGATTGCTTGAAAAATAGATGAATTGAATATACATTGGGGTGTGTATAATTTGCAGCCTAGAATGAAATGCTGGGGACTGGCAATTTCCAGCAAACAAATCGTTGTTCTTACTGCTTATCTGGATTCAGCTCATCGAACTACAGGATGAAAAGTTTCTGATTTTATTCACTGCCCCATTTTCTTGTGTGTATTTTCATAAAATCTTGTGAACTGGATATTTTTGCAGCTCGACTTTCAAGGAGGTACCTATCTATAAAAAATATAATGATATTTTGTGTTTGGAGCAGAATATCCATAAGACATTGATGAAATAACCAGATTGAGTCTAACCTTAGTGCTTCTATATATTTATTTCAGATGGTAAATTTTCCATTCTGTTCTCAAACATCATCATATCCTTCTGGTACATTCCTTCTGAACATTACTCACATAATGATTTCTAATGTGATACTTTCACATCACTCATAGTTTTTCGTTTTTCAACTGAAAAGCTATTAATGTAAGTACTCTTCGCTGTAGGTAGGTACCTGAAATTTTCAAGTATATAGTGATTCCGATGTGTACATGGTTTACATCACTAAAGACATGTTTTCACTGCAAATAATGGAATTTCTCGAATTATATAGTAACTTATCAAAAATATAGAAGGAAAAAAGCAGCCCCTACCTTTCTGCTTGGCTTGCAAGATTTTGCATGTCGAAAAAGTGTAATAGCACTATTGAGTTTCCGAAGTTTCCACAGTTCCAACTTAAATTCAAGTTGCATCATAAATCATACTAATACAGCATTGCCTAAACATCTTCCTGCTTCCATTCAAGTATAGGTAGATGGTTTTCATACTTGATAATATCCTTCGTGATAATGTTTCATTTTCGGGATTCCACATGACAGATTTTTATTTACAAACTTGACAGGACCATGAAAAATGTTACGGTTAGGAATAAAAAATGAATAACTTAGTTTACTTGGTTCACATTGATGTCTCTGTACTACTGAACGCCTTCATTTATTTTTTCAAAGAACAGACAATATTATGCTCTCGCCTACTGACTACCTAACTAGGTTTCCATTTAGATCGACAATGGTTGAATACTTCTGATTTATTTACCGTCTGAATAAGAAATGGAATTCTAAGAACAGTTCTAACAGGGAAACATCTTTTGGCAAACGATATTGGTGCAAAATTCTGTACCTATCCTAATTCGAACGCGATGTTCGATTTTTCTTTCGATTTTATCATCTGGAGGAATAGGATGGAGTGATTCCAAACAAGAATGTTGAAAGAAGATGAGGCTACTAAAGTGCACTTTCAATTTCAACTTGATAACGTAACTGTTACACTCCACAGGGTATTACAAATTTCATGAAAAAAACACGCTATAATTGATACACCTGGTATTCATAAAAAAGAAGTTCTTATGTGAAAACAGTTTTCACACCAATATGTTCAGAAGGAAATAACCTGTCATTCAAAACAAAAAACCTCAAAACCGGATAAGTAGTTATGACGAAAATGTTTCCTAAACTTTTAGCTACTTATTGTTTGGTGTTGACTCAATTTCTTAGAGAATTGTATATTAACTTATGTACAGTTGTGTGTTTCATTAAAGAGTAGTACATGTAGACATTTGCGTGTTACCGACAAAAATTGTTTGCATTTTGACACTACTTGTCAAAGTCGAAAAGAAGATTAATCAAGATTGACAAGCCTGACTCACAATAGCCTATAACTGCTGTACGACTTGTTTATGCACACAACTTTAATGTACGCTGTATTGTATATACTTGTGCTCACAAAACAATGGAGATCATTTTGAACAATTAGGTTAATATGCAACTTTCAGAGCCAAAATAATGTTAGCACTTCGTATAAAAAAATGTCCATCACACTTCGTTATGGAGTCGAGACGGATTCTAATAGTTGATATTCAAGGTACTGACTTATAGAGTTTCATGTCCGATTGTTGGATGTTTTGTGTCCAAAGAGCAAAAGACAGAGACAAAGCATTGACAAAGTAAAATAGAATTTGTAGAACTGAATGAAAAACCAAAAACAAAACAGATGAATGCACCCCCATATTTAGAGGTCTGACCAATCAAAAAGTGTACCACTATTGTCGTCACGCTATTTATTAACCCTCAAGTACAACCCACGGGTCAAACTGACCCAGTGATATGTTTGTCTCAAATCTTATATGATGTTTGCCATTGTTGTTTGTATAGGTAGGTAAGATAATCATTTAACCGTTGTAGGTTTTCCTGCTAGTATTCACATAAGTTTGGATTGAATTCTTACTCAGTAGTGATATCCTACTATGAGAGTTGTCTTACTTATTTACTAATCATTTTTTTTACGCAGAAAATGGATCCGAGAGTATACCATACAATGTTCGCTCTACTGCATCTGGTATAATGAAATATCCCTTTTTGTGGACAGTGTGCGGAAAATATCTGCCCAGAATGTTCTTCAAATTTTTTTCTCTTATTTCAATGTATATCCATAATGAATATATCACATGCTCAGTTGAATATCTTCTTCATGAAGCTGAAAAAAACCTTAACATTTACTACGGGTCAATTTGACCCGCGGCTAGTAGTTACGTTATTTTCATTGGGGATAGTACTTGCAGGTTAAGTCACTCTAGTGTAAATAATCGATGGGTCTTTTCTACCTTGTCCGGCAAACTCTCGCTCCCCGACTTGGTGCCTAGCATGCTGCTGCCGGGACTGCCGGTCTTCTTGAGCAGCAAGGAGTTGAAAAAGTTGGCTAGGACACCTTCGCCGCCCGGGGAGCTCACCACTTTCGAGCCGTCCAGTTTCCGCGGAGAGCCTTGAATTCCTGCAAATTCATTAATTTACGATTTTGATACAACATTATTAAGGTTATCATCCTAAGACTCAAACAATCTCATTGACTCATTAGCCATTTTCGGAAATTTACTCCCGGTCACCAATCCGATCCAAATAGATCACTTGGCGGATCACTCATAGCGTATTCGACTGGCTGCACTATTGCGCATTCAATTCCAATTTTCATCATGCGTGTGTGTTCGGCTGGTATGCACTCCGACAGTACCAGTATTATTTCTGTTCGGCTGAACAGGCACTATACTCAGGGGTAGAGCTGAATTTATGCGCATTCAATTCCAATTTTCATCATGCGTGTGTGTTCGGCTGGTATGCACTCCGACAGTACCAGTATTATTTCTATTCGGCTGAACAGGCACTATACTCAAGGGTAGAGCTGAATTTATGTTCCATTAGTGAAATTGCTAATTGTTAATTCGATTTTTTTCGCACAACAATTTTTGACGGTGCCAATGTCACGGGCTGAAAAATGCTGAAAGTTAGGGGTTATTTAAATATATTGTCATGTTCAGATATCAAAATGAATCTAATGAAACTATTAGCAATTGATTTCCTCATTGTCATTGTTGAGCAACAGTGATGGATTGATGAAATCGAAGTAGGATGAAGCAGGAAAGCAGAAAATTAATGAAACTCAGACATTTCAATGGAATATTGGAATACCAGGTATTCCTAGTAAATGACAAAATTGCATTATACCTATACTATACACCATCGAAACCTTTAATTATTCACAAAATGTCTACATATACTTATTATGCCGCAAATAATTATTCGCTCCATACTTCGAGATTTAAAAAATAATTTGATAATTTATCAATTTGGAAATCAAATCTTTGGTTAGATCAATGTCGTAAACATACCAGTCGAATATTCATAATGTCAATATTGAACTTCATCCATACAGTGCCAGAATAGTTCGCATTATCTACATGTTTCTGCTCTAAATGGGTTAGAACTGAACAAATTCTGTCCGAAGTCAGTTCAGTGCTAAATACTCATCTATACCGTGTCAGTGCAATCCAGTCGAATACGCCATTAGATCACCTACTCAGAGATAATGGGTTGCATGCAAGATCTTTCAGATGACCGACCCTGGAGGTTGAACATTGAAATATAACCTCACTTTTCTTATTCCTTTACAAAGGATTGAAATAGTTTTTCACAATTATTTCCGCATAAGAATCGTGTTTTTCGGCTATTCAATAATTCAAGCATACCATCACATTGTGGAGTTGTAAAATGCACAAAAAATGCAGCGAGATACGCAGGAATCCGATTTTTCAGGTAGGTCAGGTGTACATTGTGATATCAAAGTACTGTTGTCACTCACATAATTTTCATTTTGAAATTTTGTAATTTATCATTGGAATTCATTCTGTAATAGGAGCTAATAGAAATAGTCGTGAAGCTTCTAAAAGAAGGCAAGAAGATTGGATTCATGCAATCAAACGGGAGGACTGGTCTGATCTGCTGTCCTGCTGACGAAATATAATCGTGTGTGTTATAGACATTTTCACTCTATATTAGCAGTATTAGCTTCTATTGCAGAAGTGGTAGAGAAGGGATTCTAATGAAATTTGTATCTGGAGATTTTCGGGTTCGGAGATTATGATTCCATCGTCAAAATTAGGAAATTCAAGAAGGTGCACTAGTTTTGTAATTATGATTCGATTCTATTCAAAATTGGTATCTGGAGGTTTTCGGGATCGGAGATAATGATTTTTTCGACAAAATTAGAAAATTCAAGATGGCGGATCCACTGTGCCTTATATATAAAGCGAAACATCGTTTGCGGGGTCAGCTATTTATACTAACACTATAAAGAGAAAAGATTTGTTCGTTTGTTTATATTGAATAGGCTCCGAAACTTCTGGACCGATTTGAAAAATTCTGTCACCATAACAAGCCGACATTAAACCTGATGAACATAGGCTTCTTTTTACAGCAGAAAAACAGGTAGTTAGAATTATCCTTCCGTACTTATCTTTTCCACATAACTTCTAAACGGCTGAAACGATTGGATTGAAATTTTATATGGGTATTTCGATGGTTTCCTGGATGATTTAAAAATACAATTGGACTGCAAAAAATGTTTTTTTTTTTGTAAATGGGTACACCAACTGTGCGAAGCCTGGCGGACAACTAGTCAATTCTATAAGGTTGCCTCATATTTCTTTGGCCTGACGAAATACAGTGGCAATGTTTTCGGTTAGGACTACTTTTCTGCAAATCGCAATATTCAAACAGAAAACGTATTCTATTTATTCAAGATTCTACATTTTGTCCCTTGAACTACTTAACCCTTTCATTGCGGGAACCGGAAAAAACCGCAAAACGGTTGTACACCAAATACGCGGGAGACGGCTTTTCACGCACGTGTTTTTAACGCATTCATTGCGGGAGCCCGGCCTTTCCGTCTACTTATATTGATATATCAAGATGCAACTAAACATGTCACAACAGGATTTAACGATTGTGGATGCGTTTTTCATTTTATTCAATATTTCAGTATCGAAGTAGTAGCTGCATCAGTTGGTTGGTTTTGATTTGTTTCAAGTGAATTTAAACCATGATAGCTCGAAAATATCTCAATGACGATAAAATTGAAGAGTTGTTGTATGCTAAAAGACATTTAATTCTGCTTTGCGCCTTGTGATGTTCCACTGCGTATTATAAAATGTTTTGAAAGGTATCATGCTGTCGAAAATTATTAAATTCCATTTCATATATGAGCATTATAACATCTCATTTTAAATAAAGACTAGTGAAATCGAATTTATTTTGGTAAGTAATAAAATCGCATTCACAAGTTACCCTGTGGTTGCGGGAGACGGGTGTACACGTCAGTACCTGACTTGCGTATACCGGGAGACGGGTGTTCCCGCAACGCTGAATTTTCCCCGTTTTGAGAGCACGACTATCAAAATTTTACCCGCAATGAAAGGGTTAAGCTTTGTATAAACTAGGGTCCCTTGATGGAAATTGACGTTAGAGTCATCTAAACAGGGTACGGACAGATCATAGCTGCATTCTTTTTTAATGATCTAGAGACTTTAGTTTTGTCTACTGGCATCCCTGACATTGCTGTCACGTCACATCCATGGGCGTTACACAAAATCATTCAAAATTTCAATAATAGGTATGTACAGGGATTTACTTGCTGAGGAAGATCATATGGCGAACGAGTTTTGTCATTATGATCCGATTCTATTCAAAATTGGTATCTGGAAGTTTTCGGGGTAGGAGATAATGATTGTTTCGTAAAAATTGGAAAATTCAAGATGACGGATCCAATATGGTGAGAAACATTGGTTTATATAATTATTACTCTACCACAAATAGAAAATATACGTAGGATGCAAGAGTGAAAATACCGTGCCTATAAGTTATACTGCGTATACATATTGCTTTGTTACTTTCAACAATAAATTATTCGAAAATGACTTTTTATTCGAGGTAAACGGAAAAAATCAGGTGAAGTATATTCTATTCTTTATTTTCCTACACATTTTTCGTATTACTTTTTATCAGCCTTTTTTTCGTCCTAGACGAAGTTTTATACATAGTGTGATATTAGTAAAACTCCATAAATTCTTCTCCGAGATGGATTTCGAAAAATATATTTAGCACACATGACATGAGTACAGTAGTTCAGATACCCACATCCAGGTTTCCATCATTTTTCAATCATAAGGGCCGGCTCATTCAGCTCATAGAGGAACTAATGCTCATCTTGAAATCAGAATTCATTCAGTCAATTCAGTCAACCCTGGTATACAGTCTTAGAACATGCTCTTTTGGTGAAATATGTTCCCTACCTCGCAAAAATTATGCTGAAGTAGCAATTTCTTATATCTTGGTATAGTTGGATCAGGAATTCCATATGGAAATTACGTATGATACGCCAGTGACCTCAATATAACCTAAAAAACAACGAATGTCAAAAATCTAGTGTTTATCCCCAGAATTGAAGGAGGATGGAACTATATTACTGTTTCACAAACACTTTAGAGTGAGAGGAGATGAGGATCTGTCCGTACCCTGTTTAGATGACTCTAACGTCAATTTCCATCAAGGGACCCTAGTATAAACTAAGACAGCTTCGTTTCTGACTTTGAATCCACAACTTTGCACTTCACAACAAATATAATGCCAATAAAATATGATGCATAAATAAGTGACCAAAATATTGTTAGTTGGTAGTTCATTTATGTGACATAAAATGAGTCCATGATCAGAATGCCCGAACATAAACCACGATGGGGAAACAGTTACGTCACAGATCGGTTCTCCGTTCCGCGCAGCCTCTCGCCATAAGCCTATGCTATGAGACAACCTTATATTCTACCAGCCTTGGGAACCACCTACCTATTGTACAGGTTACTCGTAATGAACACTCCTGTATAATTGAGGAGATCTGTTCTAATCATTGTGCAACAGTTAAAACCATAGGAATAGTTACTTTAGGGCGATTAATGATCGAGATATTTTAACGTGCGAACAAAGCGAAAATAATCGTGCATTAATAGACAAATTGATCATTAATAGGGGTCATTAATGAACGATTTCATGAACATTAAACTTACTCGTTAATACGAGGTCGACGGAAATATTTCCATCCATATGAGTGTGAAATTCACTCAAGGATCACAAAACCGGGCGATGAAGTGCTATTTTAAATCCGGTCGTGCATGAAAGGAAATGATAGCATACCTCCAAGTGGTGGTCTGATAGGCGACTCCCCTAATCTGATAGCTGGCGGTCCCCCGCCGAAAGAAATCTGTTGCTGCCTGGTCAAGAAGGCCTGTTCATCCTCGGCCAAAATTTCCGTTTCCCTGTTAACAGTTTTCCTGGTGACAGGCTGCACGATGACGTCACGATAATAGTCGTCTGGCTTGCAAGAATGCATGTTCTCATACAGGATGCTGATTTTCTTCATGTTATCCCAACCGGCAGGTATGAAAACCGCGTCTTTTTCCACCACCAAAGCCGGAGTATGGAACGGAAAACCGTAAATGCGATGAGTAAGATATTTGTAGAGCAAGTCGCAGTTCTTGTCTTCTTTGGCACTGGTGTAGAATAGGGCTGCTCCGTATTGGAGACAGAAGCGCCTGATCCACTGCTGCATAAAGTCCAAGTGTTCGTCGCGGTAGTCCTGTTCTTTTTCTAAATTTTGAATATAGTCCGTTTTCGTTACCACAACGACGATATCCAATCCCAAGTTGTTGGTTAATGTTCCTACGAGGTAATTATAACTGTCATCAAATGAAATGTTCTGTTATTTGACAAATGGGAACAGATAAACTTTATTAGCCGTTTATCGCAAAGGCCGTCTGCGGCCGAATCAAGATAATCTTGAGATCGCTAAAAAGTGTTGTAGCCTTGGTATACACACTATATTTTTCGTACATTTATCGCGATTATTGAACTTGGTAATCAAAAATATAGATATTTATTATACAGTGGACGCGTAGCGGAGGGAGACAAAAGGCCTTGAGCTAAAATCTAATAATTTTCAAATTTTCCCCTGTGAAATATATTTTTTTCTATGAGAGGTGAAGTGACGAATCAATATTGAGAAGATATATTACATTATATTAAAATCAGAAAATTATCGACATGAAATTTGAAGTTTTGAACAGGAATTACACCTGCGTTGCAGGTATTTTTTTGTAGGCATCTTTATCATTCTTTTGAAGTAATCTAATGTCTGTCAGTCTAATACTGTGATTCGATTTTGAAAAATTGCGAAATTAGTGGTTGTTTAGTAGTTTATGTAACCGCTAAGTCGAATCGAGGATAAAAAGACTTGCAGATCTTTCTCGGAGACGGTATTATTGGCTTATTTTCGGAACTATAGCACAACAAAAGCCATCAACAGCGTGTGATATATATCTGGGAAAAAAATACTCACTTCTTTCTCAGTGGGAAAAAGTAATTTATGAAAAGTGACATTTTATAACCTGCCAACAGAGATGGAATGTCAAACTTTTTCCCCGTCACAGAAAATATATATTATTGCTTTAAAATCAATAGCAGTTCAATTTATGTGACAAAGTCACAAGGTTGGTATGTAAATGACATATTCGAATGTATAAGAATTATTTCGACAGTTCTTGACAAAATGAAGATATGGTCTGACACAGATATAGTGAGTTGTTTTATTAGGATCAAAAGTGACACTTTGTTTGACAAGCGAATTTTTTCATTTGCGAGGCCGAGCGAAAGCAAAATTTGCGATAGGAGATCTAAAATATGTGAATCGACACGCTTAATATGCCCAAGTAATAAAATACATGGAGCGTCATTTTGAAAAAAGCAAGTTATGGCCCTTCAAAATTTAACAAAAAACCAATGTGTCCCAGCAAGGTGATGTGATAATGAAAATAGACGACCTTTCTACCAAATGATGCCCAAGGCAGTTGCTTAGATATAGGCAGAGTCTCAAGTTAATATTCTGAAAACCAAGTTCCAGACGATTTTTCAAAAAAGTGTCTGCATACATTGATTTTTAGAACTTCGGAGAAACTCAAATATAAGTAAAAATATAGGGGGTGCCATTTGAAAAAAAAATTTTCAAGATATTACCCACAAACTACACTGATCTCCCGTTTGCAATACCGATTACTTCCTTTCGATACCATTAACGATGTAGGCGTATTGACAATCAAACATAATCACAAACGATTTATTTTGAGGCAAATCATATGTTTTGCCAGACAAGGACAAGAATATGTTTTTCGCTTAGATAAAGGATCCTCGCATCTTCCTTCCTCCACAAGTCCTGGAAAGAGTACATCCATATATCTTTCTCTGTCTTTGATTTTTGTATGAGAGTGCATAGCGTCTCCTCGAGTGGGTAAAAGGGTACGATAAATTCATTAGAAAATTATTTCTTCTCGAAATATGGAATAAGGCTGAAGGACCTCAATGGAGGTCGATATCAAGTTTGTATGTACATATATACCAACGAAATACATATAGGACTATGTATATTAGGTATATTATACCTACATATAGGAGACTTATTCCATAGGAATAGTCGTATATGTATTTCGTTGGTATATATGTACATACCAATTTGATATCGACCGCCATTGAGGTCCGTCAGCCTTATCATTTAATATTTCGAGAAGGAATAATTTTCTAATCAATTTATTGTACCGTTTTACCCACTCGAGGAGACGCTATGCACTCTCATACAAAAATCAAAGACAGAGAAATATATATGGATGTACTCTTCCCAGGACTTGTGGAGGAAGGAAGATGCGAGGATCCTTTATATAAGCGAAAAACATATTCTTGTCCTTGTCTGGCAAAACATATGATTTGCTTCAAAATCGTTTGTGGTTATGTTTGATTGTCCCTACTTGTCTAGTGTCCGTAGTCTAATATACAAAAAACGTCAAAACAGCAGAGTCAAGTACATTTAGGAACTCTACAGTACAGTACAGTTTCTTGTCAAAGGATAATATACTGTGGTGACAGTAATATCTAAATTATTACACTTCACAATCATACGACCATTATACCTTCTGATAATGGAGACCCATCGAATTCTTCCTCATCCCCAAAATTCCTGGAGCTCCTTTTCATCGGCGAAGCCGGATCCAGCTCATCGCCAGGTTCCACATAATCCAACCACAATTTAATCAAATTCTGTCGACGGCTCTGTCTCAGATCTACCTCTAACTTTAGCTTATCCAGATGGTCTGCGAGGACTGACGCCCAATGTTGGAGCTGCTCAAGAATGCCCCATGGCGTTGTCATAGATACAGCGAGTATTACTAAAGTTTCCTGTAATAATTTGTATTAAAAGATTCTTATACCGTTTTCCACTGGATGCGATTAGTGTATGTGTATAATAATAATAATAAAATTTATGTATCTTTCAAGATCACACAGAATGAAATAAGACAGGTCAGGATTACAGATACAAAAATATATAAGGATTAAATTCGATGGTGCAGTATAGCAAAACATTGAAATGGCACATTATAATCCCAGATCTTCGACTATGGTTCCAATGATTTGAAGCGAACCTTGAGTTGTGAATCACGGACCTCTAAAGTGGTTGTCTTGTATAGAAAAAAGTTACAATTAATAGGAATTAGTGATTTTAAATAATTAAAACTACATTGAAAGTAGTGAGAGTGAGAGAACTCATTTGAATCTAATGTACCACCGATTTTCGGAATAGATTTCTTATTATATTCAAAGTTTGCCACCCTCTAGCATGATTTATTCATATTTTTGGAATTTTGAATAGAAGTAAATGCCGTTTTTTTAGTAATAATTACTGATTTTTCATAATCTTTCTCAAGTTCTTTATAGAGTGTTCACTTCCGAGGATTCTTATCAACATCACATACAATTTTTAGTGATGATAAGATATTCCTTTTGTTAATCAATTCTTGACTAAACCACTTCACAGGTGGGCAGTTATTTAAATTACATGTCTTCGGGGGAAAACAATCTTTAACAGTACTTTTGTATAAATTCACCAACCAATTTGCCACTTTATCAATATCATGATTATTATCGAAAAAACCAGAACAAGTATTGCTGTCAATAGTTGATCTGAACACTTGAAATGTATCAAAATCGATTTTTAGGTTATCGGACATGCATACTAGGGCTGTGTCAAATCATTCGTCAGACCAAAGTGGCGATGCCAGAATGGTCATTGGTTAACGTGATAACTTTGTGGGTAGGTTTGAATCGTGACCGATATTCCCAAACAGCTGGTTGGTCAGACTGGTTGTCAGACTGGTGGTCATCAGACTTAATTACTGAACGTATGTGCCCGGTCAAACTACAGACTTTACACAGCCTAGATCCTCGGGAAAAATTCTCTCCCATGTGTAACGACCTTATATGGATGATACTGTACCTATAGCTGTCATGCTTGATTTAAACAACACTATGTGTTTAAATCAAGTTCAAATCAAAGTTAATAATGCGATTTGTTCTCATTTTCAAAAGTTTGAATTAATTCGATACTCGAAAAAATCATTTGAATTATTCACAAGTGAAGGAGCAAGTGGAAAAGGGGTCAAGTAACATTTTCTGAAAATATTCGGTTGTCATGGAAAAAGGTGTTATGTGCATATGTAACTTGCCCTGTCAGGATTTGTTTCTATTCTTCATATCTGAGTAGATACACAGTGGCAGAAGGGGCTATGTTACACTAAACATCAAGAACACAATGGAAGAAGGAGCTATGTGCCCATTATCTACATGTCAGGAATTGGAAGAAATGGTTATGCATGCATGAATCATATGTATATAAAAAAATGATATGATAGCAAAATGCGGTAAATCATAAAAAAACAACCTAAAACTATTCCTCACAATTGCATAAATCAAATTATTAAGCTAGCTTTCAATAAAAAATGCCAGCTAACTTTACTAAAACCTATTTTTCTCACAAACTCATATTTGTAATATAACTCCTTCTTCCACTTGCCTCATACATGGATGGTATCATACAAGCACATATTATATCATTTAAAATCTGAAATAGGTTGAACTCATTTCCTTGACCACTCTAGTACACACCTGGAATGTTTCTTCGTTCAGGGCGAATCTGAGTAAATCAGAATGAGCTGGATCACCATCTAGTACCCAAACACTCAAACGTGTGTGGTCATCGCGATAATCATCTCGAACATCGATGTAGGCATATTCAAGCCCAGATCCTTTACTAGAGTTCTCAATACCTGAAGAATGAATGCATACAATTATAAATTATACAGGGTGTCCAGATACTCTCCCTCCAAACGAGATTTACACATTCTGGACGTTATTACATATGAATTTAATCTAAATCAACTTAAACCAAAAATATTTCCTAAGAAAGTAAGCGCCCTCTGGAGATGACATAAGAAATCATGATTACCAAATAATTTCAAAATACATCTGGGATTAATGTAAATTGAATTGGGCCAGAACTTTATTAATGTCCTATTTTATTCATTTGTCAAAGCCACCCAAACATAATTTAAATTGATTTTATACCAGAAACACAAGTTTCCACCGATTTTTCTCGAAAATAGTGTATTTGACATCTTAAGGTTTTTTGATTCGACCTAAAATATATAAAAAAAATTAAAAAGAAAATTCCACACCAGTGATTTTAATACAGTTAAATTGGGTTTTTATGACAAATTGCCATAGCAACGTATGTATTTTAGTGGAAATTTTTTTCTTGTGTGTACACAGGAGCGTATGAAATCGGAAATTTTTTTATGACGTTTTAATGACAGAATAATATTTTGACGTTCTAAAATAGTGATTTTGTGCCACTTCAATTGGGTAGAAATCAACAATTGATTGGCTAAGAATCCATTGATGCTCTAACTGCATCTATTATACAGGGTGTTCCACAGGTAAAGGGAAATATTTCAGTGGTACATAGGGGTCACCAAGGTGGTTCTGAAAATACCATATTTGATAGTTCTTAGAGTCTTCATAACGGAGATACAGGGTGATTTATCGATTTCGAGTAATTATTCATTCGTCTATAAGTATTGAACTACTACTAGAATTTAGTCACCTATCGTGCGGAGCGAACATCCAGGTTCGGCTTCAGGAAAAATTTACATTTATTCGAAATATTAAAATAACACACTGTATGTGATAATTGACAGAGTTCATCAAAGGAATCGTGAAGAGGAGGAAAAACTGAACTGGATTTGATGCTTTTTGTTTTCCCGCCACCAATTCTCATCGTAACAATCATAAACAGAAAGCTAAAAGTATGTCAATTTGAAGAGTATTAAAATTATGAAACCACTTTCAATTATGATTATTTGATATATTCTTGTTAAATGATCGTTCGAAAGAACTTATTAGGTCTCACAGTTTTCATAACAGAGATACAGGGTGAACTATCGGTTTCGAATAATTATTCACTCGTCCATAAGTATTAAACTACTCATCGCAGTAGTATTTTCTCAAATTTGGTATCGAGCTTACTTGGGACGATGGATTCATTGACCTATCAGGCAGAATGGAAATACAGGTTCAGCTTCAGTCTTTATAAAGGAGATACAGGGTGAATTATCGGATTATAATTATTTGGTATTATTTCCATTCCGCCTGATACGTTAATGATACTACTTATGGACGAGTGAACGATTATTCAAAACCGATAATTCACCCTGTATCTCCGTTATAAAGACTGTGAGACTTAGTAAGTTCTTTAGAGCGATTTTTTGACTGGAATATATCGATTAATCATAATTGACACTGATTCCATAATTTCAATTGTCTTCAAATTGACATACTTTCAACTTTCTGTTTATGATTGTTACGATGAGAATTGGTGGCGGGAAAACAAAAAGCATAAAACCCAATTCAGTTTTTCCTCCTCTTCACAATTCTTTTGATGTACTGTGTTAATTATTAAATACAGTGTGTTATTTTAATATTTCGAATAAATGTAAATTTTTCCTGAAGCCGAACCTGGATTTTCACTCCGCCCGATAGGTGAATGAATTTAACGTCCCAAGTATAAGCTCCTCACCAAATTTGAGAAAAATATACTGGGTAGGTCAATACATATAGACGAATGAATAATTATTCGAAATCGATAAAAAAAAAATAAAGACCTATCAAATATGGTATTTTCAGAACCACCTTGGTAACCCCTATCTACCATTGAAATATTTCCCTTTACCTGTGAAACACCCTGTATAGAAGGTCATAACACTACCTTGGCCAGTGTAAGGCGTTATGGAAGGCTAAAATTCGAAATCTCTGGTACTGATACGCTTCAACAGGAAGATCAAATTACTAAGGTGGGCGGACATATAGTTTATCCAAAAACAATTGCAGAATCTCGTGCCGCACCTGCAGTCACTTCAAAGGAAACTTCAAACACGCCGACGCCGCACAGTGCGGGATATTCTGCAATTGATATTGGATATACTATACTGACCTTCATCAGAAATCCACGGAGGTTCGAAAAGGAGAATTAGGAGAAGGAATAGTAGATATTATGTGCACATGACGTGTGCAGCAGGGGTCGGCAAAAAAGGCTCACTAAGGCCTACTTGCTAGGCGACCGCCTCCCCTTCCTCTAGTACTACTAGTATGTACCTTTACCTATGAAAAATCAATTGACGAAATTATAATTTCTTATCACTTGTAGTATCCCGAAATTAATATAAAATGGAAGAATTTGATATGTTATATTTTGAACTAGTATTTTCATGCAAATATAATAGGTAAAAATCAGGAATCTATTATTGGTGCCGAAACTGCGACCCAAACTAAATTTATTCATGAAACTTTATGAAAATCAAATGAACAAATAAATTCTAAAATTATTCAATTCCCAAAAACAATCTGGTGTGAAATTTTCTTACCGAATACCACAGGAAGTCAAATTACTTTCCTTCGTCTTCGACTCGAAATAATTTTCAAAATATCCATGAGCTCGAAAAAATTCCGGAAATAATTTGACCTCTAGTGGTATTTATTACAAGTGAGAAAAAAAACTGAATAAAAATGTGAGTATGTCGTCCCTGCCTGTTAACCGCTTGTGATGGCAATAGAAAAATCGTATTCACAGTGGCTTTTATTTCATTGGCGCGTATTAACTAATTCCCGCAGGGAGCATTTTTCGGTTAAGGTAATTTCGCCCTCTGCCTACCATGTCAGGCATTTTTGATCGACAACTTGATCTAAGTGCTCTGATCCGATGTAATTTCATTGGTTTAAACACATCAGGGCACGTGATGTTTTACAAGAATCGTCGGGCAGTCACATATGAGACAGCAGTTGACTGACAAAGCCTGTAATCCAGTTATAGTTTCCGTTTGTCAGGAAAGTTTCTAGACACCATGTTTAATATCATAAATATCCCAAACCCAAATATTTCATTTCATCAAAATTCCCGAATATATCATTTAAATAAATTTTGACAATTTAAAAAAATAAAATTTGTATCATATTGAGAATATTCTATAAACGTTCTATGAATGACATTGTGCTATCTGAGGGTCTAGCGGGAATGATAACAAAGATATAGGGTGTGAAAAATCGAGATTTTTAAATGCTAAACCCCAAGTGTTATGAGTCAATAAACTCAGCTCTTGAGGAAGAATCTGAAAATGAAATAATATACAGGGTATCCTATTTAGAAAATCAAAGTTGTTGCTACTTTTCAATATAACCGGCAACGTCGCAGCGCTGAGATTATTTTAGTTCGATAATGTGCTTTCCACCGTGTATTAAGCCTGTATATTGTGTATATTTCAGTACACTACTATGGTGAAAGTAAATTCTTATTGCTATGTAGATTGTAGAATATGGAAATATTTTCATAAGTTTTTGAGCCATAAAACGTAGTCAGTTTCCTTAACAGGAATTTTTTGTGTCCCGTATGCAGTTTGATGATTAAGTATTGCGGGTGATTTTATCTCTTCAAGTACTCATTGGAAAACACGAAATGCGATGGTCTCAGACACGCGACTGGCCAATATGGCGGCCATTCCAAGATGGCTGCCAAACTACATATTAAAAACAGCCATATCTCGGCCATTTTTCAACTGATTTTGAAAGTTTTTTTTTCGTTTGTAGACCTTTACGAGCGTTATCTTTTAGATAGTCACACATTTCAGGCTAAATACAAAAACTTTCAAGTTATGTTGAAAACAAACGATTCTTGACCGAAAAACTAATTATTTGGTCTATTGTCATGGAAAGTAACTAGTAGTAGTCACTGATAATAAAATACAATATTTGCAGCTCAAAATCACTACCAGCGGGTTCTACAAGTTAAATTGGAAACAACAGATAAGAATTATATGGTTCATCATTGAAGAGATTCGAGGGTGATTCACAGGCCTCATTGGGAACATTGTCACAGTTTTGTTCATTTCCAGAACAATAGCACATCTCTGTACATGGAAGTCTATTCTTCAAACACTTACATGGAGGCGCACATCGTGATATTCCGCAAGAACACCGCACGGATGATAGAAATCCTGGTGGTCCACATGGTAGTTAACTCATCTCTGGAACAAATTCACCGTTCTCTAAGTTCCAACCACATTCTGATGAACATGGTAAGTCAGATGTTGCAACATCTGATTTACTCCAAATCATTGCGTGGAAATGTGCTCTTCCGACTGCAGGACTAAATGAAGCTAATGTTGGGGGCAGACTAGCACCTTCAACTTGCTTTAAATAGCCATCACCTTAGTTCACTCAAGCTTTGGTTCCCTCAAGTAGACAGAACAAAGATATTCTTCTAACCTACTATAGATTTCATCTGTTAAGGACAAAGTTCTACCACGAGATGTAAGTGCCTGAAGCACTCTTTCATTTGCATCCATGAAGAGGTTCCAAAAAGCAGTTTTTGTTTTTCCAGAGAACGCTCCAGTTACATCAGCACCAGAAATTGCATTCATTCCAGGCAGTGCAGCTGCTCGCTAGGGTCCAAGTTTTGCTTGAATTTTATCAACTTCAATTTCCCTGGGTTTGGCTCTCATTAGACAAAAGGACGTCTTCTTTGAGAGCTGTTGAAAGCAACTGATAAGCAGGACCAGAACATCAGTGTGGGTTAGAAGAATATCTTTGTTCTGTCTACTTGAGGGAACCGCATTACTACTTAAGTGAACTAAGGTGGTGGCTATTTTCCAAAAAGCAAGTTGAAGGTGCTAGTCTGCCCCCAACTTTAGCTTCATTTCGTCCTGCAGTCCGAAGAGCACATTTGCAGGCTATGATTTGGAGTAAATCAGATGTTGCAACACCTGACCTACCATGTCCATCAGAATGTGGTTGGAAATTGGAGAACGGTGAATTTGTTCCAGAGATGAGTGAACTACCATGTGGACCACCAGGACTTCTATTGAAGTATGGACTTCCATGTACAGAGATGTGCAATTGTTATGGAAATGAACAAAACTGTTACAATGTTCCCAATGAGGCCTGTGAACCGTTGGATGAAAACGACGATGAAACTGACACTGACCATGAGTAACAAATCACCCTCGAATCTCTTCACTGATGAACAACATAATTCTGTATGTTCATGATTTATCTGAGAATATTCCTTTTCAACACTTTCATACCCAATCAGGGGGTTCAAACTTGGAACGATGGAAACTTGTGATTTTTATAGACCTCTAATCGCAGATTCGTGATGAGTCTCAATTCAGAATTTCTTTCCACGCCCTGTATGATGAATCTCAATTTATCATACACCCAAAAGCAATAATTCTTATCTGTTGTTTTCAATTTTATTTGTAGAACCCACTGGTAGTGATTTTGAGCTGCAAATATTGTATTTTATTATCAGTGCGACTACTACTAGTTACATTCCATGACAATAGACCAAATAATTAGTTTTTCGGTCAAAAATCGTTTGTTTTCACCATAACTTAAAAGTTGTTGTATTTAGCGTGAAACCTGTGACTAAAAGATAGCGCTCGTAAAGGTCTACAAACAAAAAAAAATATTTCAAAATCTGTTGAAAAATGGCCGAGATATGGCTGTTTTTAATATGTAGTTTGGCAACCATCTTGGAATGGCCGCCATATTGGCCAGTCTCGTATCTGAGACCTCCACCATCGCATTTCGTGTTCTCCAATGAGTACTTGAAGAGATAAAACCGCAATACTCAATAAACAAATTGCACACGCGGGATGGGTTAAGGAAACTGACTAACGCTAATAGTGCTTATGTCACGTCATCGAGAGCTAGCGTGTTTGAAAGGTGATTATTCTGATAATTTAAAAAAATATATCTGTGATGATTTTAAATAATGTATGACTGTATCAAATACTAATATTACATCAAATGATCATAATAAAATTGAAATATAGCATAAATTCGACTAGAGTGTAGAACCCCATTCAATAAACTTGAATTTGTTTCATTTAATGAGAGAAATGTGGAGGCAACATTTCTGGAAATGGAAAATATTCTATCATTGTTTTCATACATAAAAGTCAAGACCTAGTGTTCTGTCGGCTAAACGAGGTTTATAATATACAAAAATATTGTTGCCTAGCAGCGTAGCCTCGTAGTTGAAGCGTCAGTATTCTATCCACGTTGGATTGCCGGTAGGTGGGTTCAATTCCCACCACGACCACAGATATTTTTCTGATGTCCTAAGCCCAAGTGTTTGGGATCACACGTTAAAAGGTAAGACCCCCGTCTCTTGAACAACAATAATGATACTAGCACGGATTAGAGGTACTACTTTTGTCAACAACAATACAGAATACATTCAGGAAAAATTTCAACAGTAGAAACAAGATCAAAACTCTGAAAATGTCAAGTTCAAAAAATTATCCATAAATTGAAGCTCCAATCAAAATTGAAAAGTTTCTAGCTCATCAACTTATACAGCATGGATGAGCATTACCTACGAGATTACCTACCAATGTTTTAGTAATAGTTTACTCCAAAATTCACCAAAACATGTAACTATTTCAAAAAGTATTTTGCTATCATTGTTGAAAAATCCAGTAAGAATGAAATTTTCCATTTCAAATTTTTTTCTGGGAGATTGGTCAATTCTGAATAAAAATGCAGTTGTGAAACAGTTATGTGCTTTTTCAACAATTAAAAGATTGTTCATGAATTGATTTTAAATGAAGGTTGTAGAACTTGTAGACTGATACTATTGGCATTGCTGAATTTCTATGATAATCAATATAAAAAGAAAAGAAAAAAAGAGAATTTCACAAAATGGAAGCATTTATGAAAATGAAAATAATTCACAAATTGAAAATAGCTTGTCTTACTGATGGTATATTAGTCTTCATGATGAATAACATATCAGAATAAATTATTTTTCAAGAAGTTTTAGTCAATAACTACTTTGGCTGGAGAAATCAAGTAATGAGCAGCAGTCAAGATTATATATTAATTTCTATGAAAAATGTCAACTATAGCAGATCATCATAATCTTTGATATTTTATGACAATTCATGTTTATGAGGTAGGAATATCAGCAATGCCATGGTTTCTTTATAGAAATTATTCACCTTTATTTCCAACTAAATGTAGAGTTGGAACATGAATATACCATACCATACCATACCTCATGTTCAAAGACTTCCATTTCATTCATATTTTTTGAAGTAAAATTCATTGTCAAGTTAAAATTATATATAAATTGTGCATAAATGAATGCATGATACACAAGGTGTCCCAAAACAATGTACAATTAATTCTACAGGGTGAACTAGAGACCAAAATAGACTGATTGAAGTCAACTTACTTCTTATAAAAATGCACCATTGAGTGGTGAGGATGAATAATAATTTTATTATCAGATTTTCTTGAATATATCAAAATCATTCAAAGATACTGCTCTAAAATTCATAGGGCAATTTACTATTGTCAATGTGCATGAAAATCATGTCATATCAATTTAATCAATATACAGGGAGGTATGTATTTCCCATATTGATGAAAATTGATACAACTTTTTTGGAGTATGCCCCTGACCACATTCTGATATTTCAATAAATGACAAAATTAGTCATCTAACTTTTTTCTTACTGTTTTTTTATAATTCTTCTTGGTTTTCGATTATGGTGCATCCCCATTCTTGTTTATGATGTACCTTTCAGGATTATTATGTTTTGCAAGTTTCTACCTCATTTTTGAATAGTTATTGACTACAATAATCATGTTTATTCACTACTTTAGCATATGATAAGGTTTTTGGTTTTCTTCAAATAATTTTTTTTTCAGTTTTTTGCTAGAAAAAAAGAATAAAATATGGTATCTACCAGCTGCCAGATCATAAATGATGATGAGGTTGTGAAATGGTGAACATGGATAGTGTGGTCAATAAACCAACACAAATGAGGAAGAAATTTGCAAAATTTGATGGGTAATCCTGGCATAAACAAGTATGGAGAAGCACCAAAATGAATTTTGTTACATATCTTGAAAACTAAGGAGAATTATAAAAAAACTGCAGTGAGGAAAAAGTTAGATAATTCATTTTGTTCATTAATATATCCATATTCAGTAAGTGACTTCAAAAAAGTTATATCAAAGAGAATATGAAATATCTATCTCCCTGTATATTGATTGCTCTGGTATGACATCCTTTTCATGCACATTCATGATAGTAAATAGCCCTATGGATTTCAGAGCAGTACCTTTCAAGGATTTTGATTTTTAGTATAGAGGTAAGTTGATTTCAATCAGTTCATTTTGGTGTCTAGTTCACCATGTACAATTTATGGTACATTGTTCTGGGACACCTTGTATAAACAGACTATATCATATCAAATATGACGCTTATTTTATCACATACTTGGTACCTATACCTTCTAGAGAACTGTAATTAAAGTATCTGATAAAACAAGGCTACAGTAAGTACCCCAAAATTTCGAAAATAAATCAATTTTGCTATTCCAGGAAAACACTTGCCCTGCAATTTGGCCACCATTGTAGTTTTTCCAGATTCATTATCACCAAGTACAAGTATTTGTTTATGAGGAGAGAGCTTGGGATTTCCATGTTTTTGAACCTCATTCAGTATTTGTGACCATAAATTTTTTTTGTCTTCCTCAATATCATTTGCAGGCTCTATGAACTTCTTTTCAACTGAAGGAGGCATAATGATATTTTCCACCCTGTAAATATATTTAATGACCAAAAAACCTTTGCGGCAGGTTCTATATGAAGTTCTGCAACAACTGACGAGAATTCTGAAAACTCGAAAACTGAGAAAATAGGTAATAATTCTCCAATGAGATATATTATTCAATATTCAAAATCTGTGTGATATGAATTCAGATGTTGATCAATTTTTAATTCAAGCTGCCATTGTCAATGCTGTCAGGAGTCAGGAGTGTCAGTCTTGTCACGAGTGTCATCATGTCAGGACTGTCAGCCAGATGTCAGGCCAGCTGCGGCGCTGGTGCTACACTTAGCGAGGCTGAGGTTACCCGAGTGACCCGAGTGCATGCCCGAGGCTGCCATCTGCTACATAATATTGAGAACGGCAGGAGTGCGTTTGATTACGATTGTTAGGCAATCCAACGTGTTCCAAATTACAGCACTGTATTTTTCATTTCGGAATACAGATTTTCAGCAGAGTCAATGGATTTACTGACAGTACTGACCAGTTGAATTCGGAGTATAGCCTGATAAACCTGTCAAGTTAATGAGAATTCTTGAAGGAGTAAATCGTGTATTTCAGCTGCAAATAAATTATGTTGAATGCACTTATTGAAATCATGTGTTGGGTAATGCTACTTATTCCAGTCACATCGTTAAATCTGTATCTTGGATGATGTTGAGAAAAGTACTCACCAAGATTACAGTAAACAACGTTTCGAATATACCTAACTACTAAACTAATTATAAATAAGCAAAACAAACTTCTTCATCCTTGTTCGCCCTGTATCAGTGGAACAAAATTCACCCACTCGATGGCGGCTAAATATCTAGACTGTCTGACGGGCTATACCGTCAGACAGTCTGGATATCTAGCCATCATTGACCCACCTATTTTTCAGTCAACTTGATCAATGGATCAATGACGGCTTAATATCAAGTAAGCTGCCGACCAGGTCGGCAGCTTACTTGATATTTACTATTTAGCCGTCATTGACTTGATAATCTTGATTCTTGACATCAGAAACAACTGGAAACTTCAGTATTTTCAAACGACAACCGAAGAGTAGAACACCTAACAAATTTCGAAAGCAAATGAGTAAACTTCACTACACGGAGTTAGTATTTCCACTTCTTTTCTATGACTCTCTGTTCACATCATATCATGGTCAGGGACAACTATGGGGAAAATATCAACTTCAGCAAGTCCAGCGATACAAACGAACAGGACTCATAATAGGCTTTTTCATCTAGATTTATTTTCAAGACGCATGCGCTCGTTTTTAGATCCAACAATTCATTGGGTAATGCAAAGGTGAAGTCTCATTGGCTATAATTCCAACACAAAATCCTGATTGGCCATTTCGAATATGGCAGGTATTATTAACGTTCTGTCAAATGTCAACAGTGTCAACCACCATGGGCATTCGTCATTGAGAAACAACAATAACAACATAGTATTCTTGTTTTTATATTCCTGGTGTGTATTAATTGTATTATAATAATTTAATTCCAAAAAACGTTACTCATTCGTTACTGAGGAGTGTGGTACTGTGGTGTAAGTGTTTCAGTGAAAATGGCCGCCACTGTCGTTGGATGCGAGATGTAAACAGAGATAGTCATTTGTCATCTGAATGAAAAGGCCTATTCAAGGGAGTTGTTGTTGGTTGTTGTTAACTGCTCACTAGTCAGTGAATTCAGTCATAACGGATTCCTTTGGCAATGACAGCTAAATATCTAGACTGTCTGGCGGGTTACATAACCCGTCAGACAGTCTAGATATTTAGCCATCATTGAGTCGACCAATGAAAGATGCTACTCCCTGCTCCACGCCCCACCTATTTACGACGATGACGTAAAACCGTAAAAGTCAACCAAAAGCAAAACCGTTAGACGCCGCTCCCCCATCATCTCCAAAAATAGTTTGGTTACCTCATTTACCTCGTAAGAGACCTCGACCGATTTTGTGGATTTCGTCGTGGCGTTGTCTTGTGCTTGTTACCTACTTACTGACCGATCAGCTATCGAAGGTATTTTAGTGAATTGTTCGTATTGATCTGGTGCTGAAAAAACCGCCGTGAAAATGGCATCGAGATCGAAAAAGAGTTCTACACCCTCATCACAGCATCAGCGGCCATCTAGCCCTCTGAGCCCAACAAGACATTCAAGATTGCAGGAGAAACATGATTTGCAAAACTTGAATGACCGCTTAGCTTGTTATATTGACAAAGTTCGGTTCTTGGAAGCTGAAAATAGCAGATTAACTAGAGAAATTCAAACAACACAGGAAACTGTTACAAGGGAAGTTTCAAACATCAAATCTATGTATGATCATGAGTTATCTGATGCTAGGAAGTTGTTAGATGAAACACACCGAGAAAAAGCACGTTTAGAAATTGATGTAAAACGTTTATTAGATGAAAATGATGAACTCAAAGCTGATCTGGCTAAAAGAAGCAAAGATTTGGTTTTGGCAGAGAATTCTGCCAGAATTTATGAAACCAGGTTCAATGAGTTACAGCTTAAAGCAAATCAGGCAGCTGCTGATGCTAAAAAGGCTGCTGCTGATGCCAGAGAACTGGAAAAAGAAAGGGATAAGCTTAGAAAACTCCTTGATGAACATAGAAAGCAGCTTGAGGAGGAATCACTTGCTAGAGTTGAAGTGGAAAATTCTAATCAAAGTCTTAGGGAAGAGTTGTCATTCAAAGATCAGGTTGGTACAATTTCAATAATAGTTCTGATTAATTGAAAACAACAATATATTGATCTTTCTTGTTACATTGATCAGTCAGCATTTGGCTTTGAGTTTGAGCTGTTACTTGGAGTTCTGTTTTAGACATTTTAATCATGATCCTCAACTTGGTGACTTCCAATTCTAGGTGCACATTACAATATGAAAACACACATATTAGGGAAATAGGTAGGTATATTTCTGAATCTACATCTTTACATCCTAGCCCTAGACACCAAATTGACATTGTCAATGAAACCTCACACAAAACTTCAATACCAATCATCAATTTTGTAAATATTGTGTAATAAACTTGGTAATACATATAATAGAGTAATTATGCAATTAAATGAATATCTTATCTTCATTTTCAATATTATTATATATATTTCTTCAATATCCTTTTCTCATGATTATCTTCCTGATTACCTATCTATGTCTCTGCATTTTACTCTATATTTCATAACTATAAATGCAAAGCCAACAATAACATTTACTTATTTGATAGATTTTGTGTTCCCCTTTTTATTCTCTCCTATACATGATCATTCACCTTGAATTATTATTGGGTGAGATCACAATATCATAAATACCAACTCAAGGATATGAAAACTTTTCAAGATATTTGTATGAGCCAAAAAATATGTAGAAACCATGATTTACCACATGATTTTAGTTGATTTTTTTTCATTTTTGTTCTTCTATTTTTAACTGTTGATACTAGTTTCTCATTTGGGTATGTTTTTTTTTCATTATCTGTGATATTCTAATTAGATAAGGGTTTGAGATGAAAATATTATTTATTATTATATTGTAGTGACTGTACTAATTTCTAATTTTCTGATGATTAGACTGAATCACCATGATATCAAATGAATTATTCATAAGATTTCATAAGTATATCCATTCCTAATGTTTATTATTCTGATTTGCTCCCACTTGAACAAACTACTGAATAATTTATGTTCAAGTTTGGTAGGTACCAACCTTGGAACCAGTTCACATAATTTCAATTTCTATTTGCTGGCTATAAAATAACTAAAACACCCTGGGATTGAGGTTTTATTTCATCAATAATATAATATGTATGTATCTCTCTTGGTACTATACATATAACCTGTAAATGTCACAATATTTTGTCAAGCAAAAATTCAGCCCCCTATGGTGCCTTCTTTGAAAATTGAAAAAAAAAAACAGCTTGACTGTTTCAAAATGTGTATGTGGATGTAAGTTTTCTCAATGAATCTATTCCTCCAAAGTTCTTTCATGATCTGTACTACAATGGTGCAATATTTTGGAGGTGCTATAAAATCCTAAATTCTAACAATGTTTCATTCTGCTCAGAGATTATACACTCCCCTTCTGTTCATAAGAGGCTAGTCTGTGTATATTATAATATAATAGAGATTTTTATTTTTCCAAGGTAAAAAAAATTGTGAATTCTAATTTTTTTGCAATCAAATATGAATCTGCACAAAAAAAATAGTTTCGGCTCTTCCACCATTCGGTTGACGGAATTATTCAAAATACCTAGTTTGATTGTAGTGCATGGGTCGCTTCAATGGTGTTTTATTTACGTTAAAAGGCCAACGGATAAGGTTGAATATTGTATATTGTATAACAACCGAATCCCTTAATTGCGTATCGGCCGTGTGTCGTTCAAGACTTTGTAATCCCGCTGAAAGATTACATTTTGTTTCCGAGGAAAGAACAAACCACATACCTCGTAATTCTACAGAAAAATCAAAAATCCCAACATCGCTGTGTTATGGAACAGTCAACGGCCGCCGGCCGTTAAACAATCTTAACGGACGGATGCTGTTAACATTAACTTTTCAACTGTCATCTGAATACCGTAAAATCAAAATAACAGTATGGGATTACGAAAATAACATACACAGAGAGCGGCAACTCAAAATAATATTTCAAAGGTCACTACGATTTTATCATCATTTAGAAACACGCATGTGAAGTTGGCGCCATTTAAAAAAAAATTCTAGTTAGATATACAGGGTGGGTCACGGTCGATGGCACCTTAGACGTTTACGGAGAACGGGACATAAGATAATTCTGAAAATTTGGTTACTCAAGTAATTGCTCTTGATCTATCGATCTAAAATATTTTCAGCTCTGCGGCGTTGCCGCTTCTATCAAAAAGTAGCAACAACTTTGTTATTTTAAATGGAACACCCTGTATTTTATCGCATTTTCAGATTCTCTCTGAAGAGCTGATTTCATCGATGTATCACACTTGGGGTCTAGCGGCAATGATTACAGAGATATAGGGTGTGAAAAATCGACATTTTTCAACTTTAGGAATTTTTTTTGTCGAAACTATTCATTATTGGTCAAAACGGCTTACATGTCCCTATCCCAACTTCTGATCAACTATTTACTGACATTTAATTGAAACAAATACAGGGTGGTGCAGAAATCAGATTCTTGATCACCCGGTATATGTCCCTATTACCTATTGAAAACTGATGAATCTTATCAACTTGGTAAAGGTATTAGGAAAAATACAATATGGCATAATTAATTTATTCCGCGAATAACGATCTGTATATCGTGAAAAATTCTCTGCAGAGCATTCTTTATGTATTTGTGGAAATAGTTCAATAAAACAATCAACATAATAATAACACTGTCGGAACAACTTTATTTCCTAAAATATTACAACAATGAACCCAAAAATATACACAGTCAACTTGAAACATGCAAATCATAACAAATTCTCGAAGTGGTCTCCATTTTGATCTATTCATCTCCTTGCTCTTTTCAGAATATTCCTAACCGATTTTCGAATAATTTCCTGGTTTTTTAAATTTCTTGGTATGTTTCTTCCATTCTCTGGATAAGCTGCTCTCTGGTATTAACTTCTAAAGAATACACTTTGGATTTAAGATAAATCCACAGGTGATAATTCACGGGATTTAAATCGGGTGATCTCGAGGGCCAGTTATGAGGGCCACCTCGTCCAATTCATGTATAAGGAAAATGTTGATTCAAAAAGTTTCTTATAGTATTAGCCTATAATGCGGCGAACCACCGTCGTGCTGAAAGTACATTCCTGCAACATCGATATGCCCATCGTCTAGTAAAACTGGCTACATATTTTCTAAGAAGTCCAAGTATACTTCGCCAGTTAGTCTCGCAGGTGAAATATAATAAGAATGTTCTGCAGCGAATTTTTCAGGACATACATATCGTTATTCGCGGTATAAATTAATTATGCCATATTGTATTTTTCCTAATACCTACACCAAGTTGATAAGATCCATCAATTTTAAATAGGTAAGTGAAATTATAACATCATAACAATAGAAATATTGAAATATGTGAATCCACATATAGGGTGCATGGAAATATGTCTCAAACAAATAAATTACATGAATAAAGTAATAATCTGTGAATATACACAGGCTCGCGTTCCACATGCATAAAAATGCGGACGACTATTGAATGGAATGAAATGAGTTGTAAAATTGCGAAATTTTCAAAATTTAGTATAAAATACTGAAAATATTCCGTTTTTAGCTATTGATATTCACAAATCCTTCATTGCAGCTTCAGAAATTCAGTAGTAAAATAGCGTGCGGAAACATAAAAATTACACAAATCCATTCATTATTTTGTGCTCTCTTCAGATACTTAAGCGGATTCAAACATACAGGGTGTTTTTACGAGGATCCAATAATATGTTGAATTTTTCTTAGTCCGGGCCTGGATTTATTTTCTGACGGATATACTAGTCGCTGGGGTAGAGTGGAGAAACACGTCTACCAAATTTAAAAAAATATACCAGATGGTTCGTATGCTATGAGCCTTCAAAGAAATGACCAGAATTGATAAAACACCCTATATCTCGATAATGAAACATATATGGTATATTCAGATCCACTTTGGTCACCTCTATCCCACCGTTAAAGTATTTCCGTTTCCAAAATATCGATATATCTATAAGTATCGATAATTATCGATATATATCGATAACTATCGATTTGCGTTAGGCGTGGGATAAAATCGATTTATTGATATTTAATTACACATATATCGATAAATCAATTACTATCGATATATCGATAACTATCGATATGTTGATAAATATCGATAACTATCAATATATCGGTAAATATCAATATAACGATATATCGATTGCTATCGATTTATCGACCTTATCGATGTTTTGACTTATGGATTATCGATATGTGAAATCTAATATCGCGCAGCCCTATTTCTGAGTAGATTTTTTGGGGTTCTAGAGTCCCTGACTGAAATACTGAATAGTTCCATGACATCCTAGATGTAAATGGAAACAAATAATTTTGAGCGCTAACTTCACTGTGCGCCGTTTTTATCGAGAAAATTAGTTCTGATATATTTTTTCGTTGTATTATAAAAAGTTCTGGAGTTCTAAACCTATTTCACCAAAAGTTCTGATCAACTAAGCAATTTATTGAATAAGTCAACGAAATACTATTATACTATTCCCATCTCCTTATATTTTTTCGTTGTATTATAAAGAGTTCTGGAGTTGTATACCTATTTCATCAAAATTTCTGATCAACTAAGCAAATTATTGAATAAGTCGAGGAAATACTATAATACTATATCTTTGTATTGAAGAAAAAGCTTTTGGAGAAAAAAGGGGGAAAATCGTTAGAAAAATAACAACTTCGATAAATGAATAATTACAAAGAACAGGACAGTTCTGATGGAGATGGAAGTTCTGAGTAGCGCTCGACGAGTTCATCAAAATAATCTACTGTTTTAGCAAGGTTTACAGGATATATATATATATCAGTGATAAATATCCGGATAATATAATTCCACCATGGCCTAGAGTTTTATGTTTTTTTGTTTTATGATAGAAATATTATTTTTATCTCGGTTTTAGTTGTTCTCTTCTGACTGTTGTTGTGTTCTCTTCAATTTTCGTTTTTCGATGAACAACATTTGAGGGCAAAAATATATGATGTATT